CCTCTGTGCTGAAATGTACTGTGACTTACTGTACTAATAGAAGCTGACGCACTGAAGTCTGAAAACAATGTGCTGTTTCCTCCCCTTACACTAGAGTGGGTCAAGGCTACCTCCATAGTGTGGCTCCTGCCCACTAATATTCCGTTGACTTCGCTTTGTTAGGGGCTGAATTACTACAGTCTACCTTATCTTTGCACCCTCACTGGAAGATGTTGAGCATGTGAGTGTGATCTGGTGGCCGGGGGGAGGGTGATTCAGAGAACTGCCATCCTAGATTAGGAGCTCCTGCAGAGCAAGGAGCATGACTCTTCATTTCCCATCTATCCAGTGCCTGGCAGCTATCAGACGCCTGAAGAAAAGGAAGTGAAGGTTTGGGGACCAGATCAATGGGAGAATGAAGGAAAGAGAGAGTGGAAGAAAATGTGACAATTTTTTTTTTGAAAGGAATGAAGGAAGCCCTGGCCAGTTTGGCTCAGCGGTTGAGTGTTGGCCTGCAGACCCTGGGTTCGGTTCCTCTAGGGGCACGTACCACACACACACACACACACACACACACACACACACAAGGAGTGAAGGGAAAAAAAGGAATGAAGGAAAGAGAAAAAGCAAAGAAATGAAGAAGGCTTACTGCTTTCTTAGAAACTGTTCATTGGATTCAGTTTTTAATGGGATGAGAGAAAAATATAAGCAGTAAAAGCTGCTTAAACAGACTGGAGGAGACCGGATAAAATGATTTCTAAGTTCCCACTCATTTGATCTATGATTTTAGGTTTTATTTATCCAACAATGTTTTGAGTGAATAGAGGCATTTAATAAATATTGAAAGAAACTACACGGAGGATCATCAGGGATCTCGGGGCAGTTGCTACTGGAGTCTACCCACTCTCTACATCCCTGAGGGCATATTATTTCCCTTTACCTCAAAAAGTCTTGCCACTATACTTAAAAAATATATTAAATAGAAGTATCTAAAATAACACCAAAGCAGAAGCAAAGTGACGTTTCTGCTAGAAAGGAGTTTGTATGACTTTCTTACTTGGGTCTTCATAGTTTCATGAGGAGACTATGTGGTCTGCAAAATGCAGTGTCGGTTTGCTCCACTGTAAGATGCTCTGTGGCTTAATTGGCACTGTACAGAGATGAGGTACTTCGTGATTTTTTTTTTTCTTTTAAAGGAACAACAGAAACTTGCTGGGCTAAACTCTAGACATGATGCAAATTTAAAGTAATTTAAGATACTATTTTGGTGGTGGTGGTGGTGGTGGTGGGGATTAAAGTTTTTTTTTTTTTTTCTCTAACAGAGTCCAGAGAGCTCTTTCTGCTTTGTGGAGATCCAAAAACCCTGAGCTGCAGAAACTCACAAGGCAATCAGTGAAGGTGAAGAAACCAGAAAGCAAAACATCACAACAGTAACCAAAGCCTGCCTCCCATCCCCCGCCCCACTATCTGTAAACAAAGATTTCTCAACTTTTTGGCCCTTCAAAATATGAGCAGTGCATAAAGTAGGAAATGATGATTTCCCCAAAGTTAATTGGAACTGTTCTCTGCTTATGTGATGTAATTCTAAGCTCAAAGGTGTTTGCTGACCCTGTAGTACCTTGCTTGAAACAAAACAGTGCTTAGCGCATGTCATTTTGATTTCATAAATAGGAAGCATATAAGAATAAGGGCAGTTAGGTAACGTTCTTGGAAAAAAAATAGCACCTTTGGTTTTTTACTTTTTTATATTATTGTCACAAAGAATCCAACTCTGCCCATTGACACTAGCCCAAATGCTATGACACTGCAAAATTGAGATCACATAAACTGTTTTTTTCACACTTGATTCTGTGCATGTTAGAGAAACATTAAGAGTAATAAACTCACTTAAAATTTTATTTATTTATTTATTTTGCGGTACGTGCCCCTAGTGGGAACCGAACCTGGGACTCTCTGGTCTGCAGGCCGACGCTCAACCGCTGAGCCAAACTGGCCAGGGCTAAACTCACTTAAAATTATTATTATTATTTTTTTACAAATACAGTATATTTATTAAAAATAAGTATACTTTCTCTACTTGCCCTGTGATATGGCATGATCCCATTTGTATAGGTAACGGTCTACATCTTACTCTTTCCAACTACAACAAATATTTGTCCATCCGTGTGTTGGCTTTCTGTCCAGGACCTCAGAAGACAGTCACCACACTCCACACTCACGGCTGGGATTTTGTGCTCAATAGTTCAGAGGCCCCCAGGCAGACCACATACTGTGACAAAAAGTGTGGACTGTCTCCTTTGTACAGATAGCATCCGCCATAAATTTACCAAGTCAAGAATTCCAGAAAAAGTGTTTCAGCCTTCACCTGCAGATCGTGAAAATTATGGTGGATCCACAGCACCCTCGTAAGCTGCATACTGTTACCAGAATAAAAAGTACAAAAAGACGTCTATATTGGGAAAACGATGAAATAAAGACGCCTGGATTAGAAAAAGCGCCTACTCCTCAAGTTCACAAGAACATCCATCCCTTCAGTGAATGCAAAACTGAAAGTGGTTAAACATTTGATAAGAATCATGCCCCTGAGGTGCCACAGGGACTTCCAGCAGGTCATGGCTCACACCTGCGGAGTTAGCAGCGCGGTGGCATCTAAACCCCCTGGACCAGGAAGCAATTAAGTCCTAATGCCACAGCTGTTTCAGATTCAACAGTGCAAATCATTTTTACTTCAAGACAGCGAGAAAGTGTTCTCATAAAACATAGTATATTTTAAGTGCAACTCATTTTTACTGACTAAAAAAAAATCGTCGACTGAGCTGATGCATGCAACCGTAAGCCTCTTTGCAGTTTAGTGAAAGTCTACATTTTACTGATAACCTAAACTATTAATCCCCATCCATCAAATGTCTGGGTACTATCCCCGTCCTGGGACGCAGATATGTCCCCACATATCCCAAGCCTGGTCCTTCCAACAGAGCTTGCTGTTGGGAGGGAGTTTTCGGAAAGCGTCCAGGAGGAGGCAAGACCCACAACGTTACTCGAGCGGTCGCGGTGCCCGAGCGCAATTTACAGGCTCAAAGTGAAAAAGAGCGGGGGGGGGGGGGTAACTCTATCAAAGATGCAAGTGACAACCCCCCGCGGCTGCCAGATTTCCACGCGCGCGGGGAAAATGCAAAGGCTAGGGGCAGTGCCTGGGCGGCATCCCCACCCTGTTTCAACTCGGGCTGCACTGGTAACGAGCAGCACGTGTGCGCCCCCCGAGCGGGCTCCAGGGCCCGGGGGGCGGCCCCCCATCCCGCCTTCACCGTCAGAGGCTCGGCCCGAGAGGGCAGGAGAAGGAGGGCGGCCGCCCTGGCCCGCCGCCAGCAAGCCCCGTCCCGCGCGCAGGTGGGCGGGTGGGCGGGCGCCGGGCGCGGGGGGCGCGGGGCGCGGGGGGCGCGGGGCGCGGGGGGCGCGGGGCGCGGGGGGCGCGGGGGGCGGGGGCGCGGGGGCGCGGGGGGCGCGGGGCGCGGGGGGCGCGGGGCGCGGGGGCGCGGGGCGCGGGGGGCGCGGGCGCGGGGGGCCGGCGCCCGCCCCGCCAGAGGAGCGTTGGCGCCGGCGGCGGGGCCTCGGCGGGCTGCGCAGGGCGGCGGCTGGCGGCGGGCTCCCTCCCCGTCCCCACCTCCCGCCCGCCCCGGCGCCCTGCCCGCCCCCTCCGCCCCCTCCGCCCCCTCCCGCGGCGCCATGCGCAGACTCAGTTCCTGGAGGAAGATGGCGACAGCCGAAAAGCAGAAACACGACGGGCGGGTGAAGATCGGCCACTACATCCTGGGGGACACGCTGGGCGTCGGCACCTTCGGCAAAGTGAAGGGTGAGGACCCCGGGGCGCGGCGGGGCCCCAGCCGGCCCCGGCCGCTTCCGCTCCTCGCACCTCTTCATCCTCCGCGCCCTGCGTTCCTCGTCTCCCGGGCTCGGCAGCCCGGGTCCTGCGTCCGGCGGGAGCGGAGCCCGAGGCCGGCGGGACCGGGCCCTCCGGGCCGGGTGGGGGCGGGGTGGCGAACGGTCGCCCTGGCGACGGCGCCGCGGCCGGGGGCTCGTCCGCGCGAGGGGCGGAGATGCGGCGGAGGGAACTTCCCCAGGTGGGCGGCCGGGGGCTGCGCGGCGGCGGGTCCGGCCCCGAGGCGCGAGGCGGCCCCGGCTCGCCCCGGCCGTGCTCCCTGGGCTCGGGGCCAGCCATCGCTCCCTGGCAGTTCTGGGCATTGTCTGTATTTCCGTCCTCTGCTGGAGGCTGTGACCTACCTGCTCCGGCGGCTTCTCGAGTGCGAAGTGTGTGCTTCCCAGAGTCAGGTTGCTTTGGGGGTAGCTTGCAGAATTGAAACAAACGCAGAAAAAGGCGGTATCGTCGGGAAGGAGGACCGATATATTTTTCGGAGGAGTTAATGAATAATAAACGGGTCCTGTGTTTGCGATGCAGGGTTTATGTTCTGAATGCAGACTCCATACCTTCAGTGTTGCTGAATGGCCGGTTTTGCCATTTCTGTGCCAAACCTGGTAGTTAATGCAGGTGTTGCCTCCAGATAGTGTTTATTAGTTCACTGATGGAGCTCCTTTCCATTCATTTTCACAGGGTATTTATATTGTGATAAACAATTTAGTGCACATCATTTGAAAACATTTTGTGTTTTAAAGAAAAAGTGTGGACTTTCTTAACCTTGTGTTTCAACACAGTATTCTTGAAATAGCAAACTTGCTCTCCAGTGCACCGATTCTGGCACAAGAAGTTTAATGGCAAACTTTGTGATGCATAATGTTTCTTTTCTTTAAAATAATTGACTTTGTTGTTAGGGATGCAGAGGAAAATAGTGTGAAACATACATAATTCATGCATTGGCTTTGGATAAATAATAGCTATGACTTGCATATCAGTATTTGACTTGAAAGCAGGAAAAGTTGGGAAAGTCTGTACAGTGAATTAACTAACCGAGCCTTGCTCTACCAGAGCTAAATAAACATTTTCTGATTTTATCTAGGGATGGAAGAGGAGAACCCTTCCTTCTCTTGCCCTTTCTGAGTCATAGAACTGGAAAATTGCTGTGTAGCCCACAGGGAAGCAACTGCCTAAACCTTCTTATGAAAATCAGCAAGGCCAACAATGTAAGAAAGTAAGAAGCAAATGCCAGAATAGGGTGATAACATCCATTAGGGTGGATCTGTATTAGGTCAGCAAGATGGTTCTGTGCCCTTGAATTTATCTATTTCAGCTATGCTGTCTCTTTACTTATTAGCATTACAAACTGCTTTTAGGTTACAGGTATTGGTAAGAAATGCTCATTAATAACCCCTTCCACCCTCCAAATAGTGATGACACTGTTGGTGCCCATACCTCTCCCACAGTTCTGCTTGGATTAGGATGCTCATCGTTCTCCTACTAGAGACTGGAACAGAGTCAGGTCTCATTTTTTTCAGTTTGCTAGGTGGCTTTTGGCATGGCAGATGGGAAAGCAGGAGTCAACAACTTCATCAAATTAGTCAGCAGCTTTGCTAAATATAGAAAGGTCAACATTAGTCAAAGGATCACAGATTTCACAGATACAGTTCAGGTTTTTCATAAACACATTAGTTGATGTTGGTCAAAATCCTCAACCAGTGCATTTTAAAGTTGTTAAACTGTTGGGATACTTTTTTCTTTCTTTCTTTTTTTAAATTTATTTTTTATTGATTTTTAGAGAGAGAGGAAGGAGAGGGGGAGAGAGATGGAGACATCAATGAGAGAGAACATTGGTTGGCTGTCTCCTGCACACTCCTCCCCACTGGGGATTTGGCCCACAACCTGGGCATGTGCTCTCCCCGGGAACCGAACCAGTGACCTCTTGGTGCATGGGTCGATGCTCAACCACTGAACCACACTAGCTGGGCTGTTGGGATGCTTTTTGCCCCAAGTAATAGAAAATCCAACTCAGCCCAGCCAAGGACATCTCTTTCTGTAGTTCTCTCTCCCGAGGAAGTGGTAGCATACATCTGGTGAATCTCACTGACTCTTCTAGCCCCTCTGGCCAGGGATGTCAAGTGCGAACTGGCTTAGGCTGTGTTCCAAAGTAGGCACTAGCAAGGGAGATGGAATTACCCTTGGCGGGATATGGCCACTCTTGGATGTGTGTGTGGAGGGGGTGGGGGAGGGGAACAAACTGAAGTCCTTGCATAGTGTCCTGGACAGGGCAGATACTTAACAGAAATGGGTATTGTTACAAAGAGGGATGTTGATGCTCAGTGAGCAGGCAAAGGTGGCTGCTATAGTGGTGATGTTGGTAATTTACACTAGCTTTATTTTTTTTTATTTTATTTTTTATTTTTTTATCCTCACCCGAGGACATTTTTCCATTTTTTGTTCAGATAGAGCGGGAGGGAGAAAGAGGAAGAGAGAGAGAGAGAAAGAAACATTGATGTGAAGGGACACATCGAGTGGCTGCCACTTGCACGACCAACCAGGGCCGGGGACAAACTGCAACCGAGGTACATGCCCTTAGTGGGAACCGAACCCGGGTCTCTCTGCACCGCAGGCCGACGCTCCAACCGCTGAGCCAAACTGGCCAGGGCAAAGGAAAACCTCTTTTTTTTTTTTATCCTCACCCGAGGACAGTCTTCCATTTTTTGTTCAGATAGAGCAGGAGGGAGAGAGAGGAAGAGAGAGAGAGAAACATCGACGTGAAAGGGACACATCGAGTGGCTCCCACCCACACAACCCAACCAGGGCCGGGGACAAACTGCATCCGAAGTACATGCCCTTAGAGGGAACCGAACCCTGGTCTCTCTGCCCCGCAGGCCATTGCTCTAATCGCTGAGCCAAACCGGCCAGGGCTACACTAGCTTTAATTTGACAAGAATTCTTAGGAGTAATATGATTAGCCATATATTTCAGTGGAGACCATTTGGAATAGAGCTTTAAAAAAATTAGTTAAACATATTGGTACATTTAACCTAGAAGAGGAATCTAATAGAAGATGTAATATTGATATGCAGAAAAGTTCCCAATATAATATTCCATGCTTAGATGAAATTTAATTTGGGGGAAGAAGGGGACTATAAATTTATAGTGATTATTTCGTTTCCTATTACAGACTACAAAACTTAATGGTAACATTTGAGGGGAAAGTTTAAACAGACAACAAGGGTTAATTTGTAATTATACGTGAATTATCTTTTATTACTGCCAAGGTGGTTATTTTTCCTGGTTGTTAAAGTGTTAGTGTCTACTCCCTTGCTGGTCCACTCCCTTTCCTCCCAAGTAGAACAATTATAAAAACAGGAATGTACAAAGAGTCATGTGACTATTGCACTAAATTAAAATGACAGTTTTTTTTTTGTTTTTTGTTTTTTTTATCCTCACCCGAGGACATTTTTCCATTTTTTTGTTCAGGTAGAATAGGAGGGGGAGAGAGGAACAGAGAGAGAGAGAAACATCGATGTGAAGGGACACATCGAGTGGCTGCCACCCGCACGACTGACCAGAGCCGGGGACAAACTGCAACCGAGGTACATACCCTTAGCAGGAACCGAACCCCGGTCTCTCGGGACCGCAGGCCGACGCTCTAACCGCTGAGCCAAACCGGCCAGTGCTAAAATGACAGTTTTTGTTAGTTTTCCAAGAGAAGGCTACCTTTTTAGGGGGTGGATGATCTGTGGCAAATGAGTTGTTTATACATAGAATCTATTAAATTGGTGATTGTTTCTATGTAAAATTGCAATTTCAGGTAAATAGGTGGTTCTCTTTGTGAATGCATCATAGTGCAAGTTCTTGAAACATTTCTTCGAGTAAGAAGTCTGTATGTGAACTAGAGCTATATATATCAGCATAGGTGAATTGCAAGTATATAAGATTAGGTCACTGAAACAGAAGAAGTAGAAGAATATGTACACTCGTTATTTATATACATTTTAAAAACATGCAAACATACTCATATCTTGCTGGTGGCAGTATAAATTGGTACCACCTCAGTAGAGTGTGACAGTATTTATTAAAATGCACCCAGTAATTCAACTTCTAGGAATTTATTCTAGAGATATACTCATGTGTGTGAAATAATGAGTTATTCATTGACATATTGTTTGTAAATGCAGAAGATTGGAAGTAACTTTTTTTTTTAATCCTCATCTGAGGACATTTTTCCATTTTTTACTCAGATAGAGCGGGAAGGAGAGAGAGGAAGAGAGAGAAACATCAATGTGAAAGGGACACATCGAGTGGCCGCCACCCACACAACCCAACCAGGGCGGGGGACAAACGGCAGCCAAGGTACATGCCCTTAGCGGAAACCGAACCCGGGTCTCTGTGGACCTCAGGCCGACGCTCTAACCGCTGAGCCAAACCGGCCAGGGCGGAAGTAACTTTTAAAAAAAAAAAAATTTTTTTTTCATTCTCACCTGAGGACATTTTTCCATTTTTTTGTACAGATAGAGTGGGAGGGAGAGAGAGGAAGAGAGAGAGAGAGAGAAACATCGACGTGAAAGGGAGACATCGAGTGGTTGCCACCCGCACAACCAACCAGGGCCGGGGACAAACTTCAACCGAGGTACATGCCCTTAGCGGGAACCGAACCCAGGTCTCTCTGGACCGCAGGCCGACGCTCTAACCGCTGAGCCAAACTGGCCAGGGCTGGAAGTAACTTTTTAATAGGACAATAGTTAAATTCTGGTTTATTTATACAAGGATACGCCTTACAGACATTAAAAAAAATAAGGAAGAGCCCGGCCGGTGTGGCTCAGTGGTTGAGCGTCAGTCTATGCACCAAAAGGTCGCTGGTTCGATTCCCGGTCAGGTCACATGCCCAGGTTGTGGGCCGGATCCCCAGTAGGGCATGCAGGAGGCGGCCATTCGATGTTCTCTCTCATTGATGTTTCTGTCTCTCTCTCTCTCTCCCTCTCCCTTCCTCTCTCTCTAAAAATCAATTTTTTTTTAAAAAAGTAAGAGACTTTATATAACTTAGGGAACAATTTTCAAGGTGTAGTTTTAAGAGGGACAATAAGGGGTTAGTAGGACAATGTGTATAGTATACCTACTATTTATAAAAAGCAGGGCAAATATGTATCTAAGTGTAATTACTTGCTTATGTATAAAGTGTCTCTTTAAAGATACACATGAAACTTAACATTAATTGTTCAGGGCAGGGGGACATTTCACTGTGTATCCTCTTGTACTTTTGAATTTTGTGTAGTGCAGGTATTATGTTCAAAAGAATATACAAAATTAAATTTGCAACATAAGCATAGGAAAACAATGTTACTGTATTGTTTATGGATTCATATTGTGGAAAAGACAAACACCACATTCAAGATAGTGGTTGTATCTGGGGAGAGAGGACGGAGAAAAGATCTGGGAGGAGTCATACTGGGCTTCAGTCATACTGTTTTACTGCTTAAGCTGGTAATGGGTGAGACGTGGATATTTGGTATGCCTTTTGGGATGCCTGAAATGTTTTATCGAAAAGGAATCTTTCTTGCCCTGGTCAGGTTGCTCTGCTGGAGCGTTGTCCCGTATACCAAAATGGTTATGGGTTTGATATCCGGTCAGGGCACATATCTAGGTTTCAGGTTCGATCCCCGGTTGGGACACATACAGGAGGCAACTGATACATGGTTCTCTCTCCCTCTCTCTCTCCTCCCCCCCTTCCTCCCTCCCTCTATCTGTAAAATAAAGGAACATATCCTCTGGTGAGGATGAAAAAAAAAAAAAGGAAAAAGGTAGCTTTCCCAAATTCCCACCTATAGCTTACCCCTCTCCAGGATTGGTTTTTTGCTAATATTTTTAGAAGTGAGATTTTTATTTTTATTTTAGAGTGAGGATGAAATCATTAGGTGATTAGAATATCTTCAGTAGATTTCAGTAGATAATTCTATCTCTGTGGGTGGCATCTCTCTTATTTAAGATCCTCTCTCTTTTTTTCCTTTGGCATTTATCTTCAGATAGAGCGGGAAGGAGAGAGAAACATTGATGCAAGAGAGACACATCGACTAGTTGCCACCACCCCAAACCGAGGCCAGTGACAAACTGCAACCAAAGTATGTGCCCTTAGCGGGAGCTGAACCCAGGACTCTGGTCTGCAGGCCAGTGCTCTAACCACTGAGGAAACCAGCCAGGGCAAGATTCTCTCTTTCAAAGT